CTCCATTACTGTCTTGCCAGAAGGGTGCTTTACACTACAGTTTTTAAACTGCAACATTAACACCCCTCCTTCAGAGTGCAGGCACTGTACTTCCCATCTCCAGGACTCAAGTCCGGCCTGCCGGTTTCCCTGAACCCCTTCATAAATGTTACTTTGCTCACACTCCAACAGCACGTCAAGTATTAAAAACCATTTGTCTCCATTCACTCCTATCAAACACGCTCACGCATGCCTGCTGGAAGTCCAAGCCCCTCGCACACAAAACCTCCTTTACCCCCTCCCTCCAACCTTTCCTAGGCCGACCCCTACCCCGCCTTCCTTCCACTACAGACTGATACACTCTTGAAGTCACTCTTTTTTCGCTCCATTCTCTCTACATGTCTGAACCACCTCAACAACCCTTCCTCAGGACACTGGACAACAGTTTTGGTAATCCCGCACCTCCTCCTAACTTCAAAACTTCGAATTCTCTGCATTATATTCACACCACACATTGCCCTCAGACATGACATCTCCACTGCCTCCACCTTCTCCTCGCTGCAACATACATCACCATGCTTCACACCCATATAAGAGCGTTGGTAAATACTATACTCTCATATATTCCCTCTTTGCCTCCAAGGACAAAGTTCTTTGTCTCCACAGACTCCTAAGTGCACCACTCACCCTTTTCCCCTCATCAGTTCTATGATTCACCTCATCTTTCATAGACCCATCTGCTGACACGTCCACTCCCAATATCTGAATACATTCACCTCCCTCCATACCCTCTCCCTCCATTCTGATATCCATCTTCATCACTTAATCTTTTTTGTTATCCTCATAACCTTACTCTTTCCTGTATTCACTTTAATTTTCTTCTTTTGCATACCCTACCAATTCATCCACCAATCTCTGCAACTTCTCTTCAGAATCTCCCAAGAGCACAGTGTCATCAGCAAAGAGCAACTGTGACAACTCCCACTTTGTGTGATTCTTTATCTTTTAACTCCACGCTCTTGCCAAGACCCTCGCAATTTACTTCTCTTACAACCCCATCATAAATATATTAAACAACCACGGTGACATCACACATCCTTGTCTAAGGCCTACTTTACTGGGAAGTAATTTCCTTCCTTTCCTACATACTCTAACTTGAGCCTCACTATCCTTGTAAAAAACTCTTCACTGCTTTCAGTAACCTACCTCCTACACCATACACCTGCAACATCTGCCACATTGCCCCCCATCCACCCTATACATATGCTTTTCCAAATCCATAAATGCCACAAAGACCTTTTAGCCTTATCTAAATACTGTTCACTATGTGTTTCACTGTAAACACCTGGTCCACACACCCCCTACCTTTCCTAAAGCCTCCTTGTTCATCTGCTATCCTATTCTCCGTCTTACTCTTAATTCTTTCAATAATAACACTCTACCATACCTTTACCAGGTATACTCAACAGACTTATCCCCCTATAATTTTTGCACCTCCTTTTGTCCCCCTTTGCCTTTATACAAAGGAACTATGCATGCTCTCTGCCAATCCGTAGGTACCTTACCCTCTTCCATACATTATTAATAATTGCACCATCCACTCTCCAAAACAATATCCCCACCTGCTTTTAACATTTCTATCTTTATCCCATCATCCTTGCTGCCTTACCCCCCTTTCATTTTACCTACTGCCTCACGAACTTCCCCCACACTCACAACTGGCTCTTCCTCACTCCTACAACACTTCTTAGGAGTGAGAAGAGCCAGTTGTGAGTGTGGGGAAGTTCGTGAGGCAGTAGGTAAAATGAAAGGGGGTAAGGCAGCTGGATTGATGGGATAAAGATAGAAATGTTAAAAGCAGGTGGGGATATAGTTTTGGAGTGGTTGGTGCAATTATTTAATAAATGTATGGAAGAGGTAAGGTACCTAGGGATTGGCAGAGAGCATGCATAGTTCCCTTTTTATAAAGGCAAAGGGGATAAAAAGAGAGTGCAAAAATTATAGGGGATAAGTCTGTTGAGTATACCTGGCAAAGTGTATGGTAGAGTTATTATTGAAAGAATTAAGAGTAAGACGGAGAATAGGATAGCAGATGAACAAGGAGGCTTTAGGAAAGGTAGGGGGTGTGTGGACCAGGTGTTTACAGTGAAACATATAAGTGAACAGTATTTAGATAAGGCTAAAGAGGTCTTTGTGGCATTTATGGATTTGGAAAAAGGCGTATGACAGGGTGGATAGGGGGCAATGTGGCAGATGTTGCAGGTGTATGGTGTAGGAGGTAGGTTACTGAAAGCAGTGAAGAGTTTTTACGAGGATAGTGAGGCTCAAGTTAGAGTATGTAGGAAAGAGGGAAATTATTTCCCAGTAAAAGTAGGCCTTAGACAAGGATGTGTGATGTTACCGTGGTTGTTTAATATATTTATAGATGGGGTTGTAAGAGAAGTAAATGCGAGAGTCTTGGCAAGAGGCGTGGAGTTAAAAGAAAAAGAATCACACATAAAGTGGGAGTTGTCACAGTTGCTCTTTGCTGATGACACTGTGCTCTTGGGAGATTCTGAAGAGAAGTTGCAGAGATTGGGTGGATGAATTTGGTAGGGTGTGCAAAAGAAGAAAATTGAAAGTGAATACAGGAAAGAGTAAGGTTATGAGGATAACAAAAAGATTAGGTGATGAAAGATTGGATATCAGATTGGAGGGAGAGAGTATGGAGGAGGTGAATGTATTCAGATATTTGGGAGTGGACGTGTCAGCGGATGGGTCTATGAAAGATGAGGTGAATCATAGAATTGATGAGGGGAAAAGGGTGAGTGGTGCACTTAGGAGTCTGTGGAGACAAAGAACTTTGTCCTTGGAGGCAAAGAGGGGAATGTATGAGAGTATAGTTTTACCAACGATCTTATATGGGTGTGAAGCATGGGTGATGAATGTTGCAGCGAGGAGAAGGCTGGAGGCAGTGGAGATGTCATGTCTGAGAGCAATGTGTGGTGTGAATATAATGCAGAGAATTCGTAGTTTTGAAGTTTGGAGGAGGTGCGGGATTACCAAAACTGTTGTCCAGAGGGCTGAGGAAGGGTTGTTGAGGTGGTTTGGACATGTGGAGAGAATGGAGCGAAACAGAATGACTCCAAGAGTGTATCAGTCTGTAGTGGAAGGAAGGCGGGGTAGGGGTCGGCCTAGGAAAGGTTGGAGGGAGGGGGTAAAGGAGGTTTTGTGTGCGAAGGGCTTGGACTTCCAGCAGGCATGCGTGAGCGTGTTTGATAGGAGTGAATGGAGACAAATTGTTTTTAATACTTGACGTGCTGTTGGAGTGTGAGCAAAGTAACATTTATGAAGGGGTTCAGAGAAACCGGCAGGCCGGACCTGAGTCCTGGAGATGGGAAGTACAGTGCCTGCACTCTGAAGGATGGGTGTTAATGTTGCAGTTTAAAAACTGTAGTGTAAAGCACCCTTCTGGCAAGACAGTGATGGAGTGAATGATGGTGAAAGTTTTTCTTTTTCGGGCCACCCTGCCTTGGTGGGAATCGGCCAGTGTGATAATAAAAAAAAAAAAAAATATTATTATACGTATTATTATTATACATATTATTATTATACATGTTATTATTATACATATTATTATTATACATATTATTATTATACATATTATATTATTATTATTATTATTATTATTATTCCTTATTGCAATAATTGTATAAATAATGTCAACCTATTCACGACTGCATATTGGAATGGACAGTGACGTCATTTGTTTACTCTGAAACAGTCAAGCAGTGGACCATTTCTCCTAGGTTGAGCTCTATTTCAAGGTACTTTTCGTCGTGAAAGCAATCAAAATCATATCGATTTCTGTAATACATCTTCCATTCTATCAAATGAGACCAAAAAACGAGAATACAACCATAAAAACCATTCGAAATTACTGCTAAGGTGTGGCTAATTGCTGAGAAGTGAACTCCATTATTTATGCTTAGATTTCTTTCATTTTTGGTGTATGTTAAGAAGCATCTTTCCATCATACATTGCCCAAGTTTCAATAAGATAGTCCAACAAACAAATGAGATACAATTCCCAAAATCAAGAGCAAGAGCAAGAGCCCCTCACCAGTGTCAAGGAACCTGCCTTGAGGTCTGTTCGCTTGTGGAAATTTTGCTCGTGTATGGAAGCAAAAAATCGACCCATCGACCCCTCGTATTTGGAAAAACTCGCATGTGGACACACTTGCAAGTAGAGGTTCCACTGTACAGTCTTCCATTTTACACTCACTTGGCAGTACGGTAGTACCTCCCTGGGTGGTTGCTGTCTACCAACCTACTACCTACTAAAAGTAATTATTTTCTGCAAGGACACATTTTTTTGCCTACAATACATTCCAAAAAGTATAAAAAGAGAAATGAATGAAGTATCATTATATAGGATAATTGCTTGTTGATTGTGAGGTAAACCCAGGAAATCTTATCCTATCCCTTTAGTACTCTTAACCCGTAAACGGTCCAAACATATATGTACATGTATATATGTTTTTTCAGCATCTGATAGTATGTAAAAAAAGTAGATCTTTTTTTTTTTTTTTTTTTTTTACATTTGAAAACGTGTAAAAACACTTTGATCTACTTTTTTTTTTTTTTTTTGTTATATTTGAAAATATTTAAAAAAGAAGTAGATATACTTTTGGAGCACTATGCATGTGAACATAGATCTGCTTGGACCGTTTACGGGTTAAGTACAATAGTAAAGAAAGGAGGGTAAAGGTATAAGTAGAATGGAGGCTGATATTCATAAGAGTTTTAGGAAAGCTGCCTAGTGTATCAGAGATGTATAATGAAGACATATATTGTGGACTTTGCAGAATAGGCTGAACCTTATTTAACACAAAGATGAGGAACATGATAATGTCTAAGATACTTTTTTTTTTCATACACTGAACTATAAATTATATGCTATATGCAGTACACTGCATATAGCATATGTTTCCTGTATTCTCTTCTGAATTATGTATAAACTGCTATTGTTTTGCTCTTCAGCCATATGAAGATATAGAATATTTGGAAGAAACAAAGGATAATGCACAGGAAGGAACACAGTTAGTGGGAGCTCTTCCTCCAGGAGCGTTGGATTGGAAACCTATGCAAATCAATGTAAGGAAATTAGGCTCGTACTATGCTGGTCTTTCCAAGAGTAGATTAACAGGTAGGTGCAAATTAAAAAAAAATTTTAAACAAAAATTTATATAATTGCCATAAAGTTTAGATTAGACTGGTAGATAAATTAATTTACGTAACTGATTTTTTTATTTAATTTTGTTATCCACAATAGTTTTCATATTGTGGTGGCAGGGCTGATCAGCCTAGTGACTGACTTAGATCCCCAACAACCCATTTTTAGGGCCTAAAGCTTATAGCCTGCAACTATAGTGAACCCTCAATATAATGGACTAATAGGGAGTAGGGGAAACATAAAAGTTGATTATCTGTTGTTACTGAATTATAAAATTTACTTTTCATGATCATAACATAAACAAATAAATTCCAGATTCAGCAGACTTGGTCTGTTGAATTTGTAGCCTAATGGACACAAAGAATATTGTAACCTTGATGAGAGAGCATGCAGGAAAAGGGATGCGAGAGGAGTAGATGGTGGTGAGAAGGATTAGGTAGGTGTGAAAGAGGGTGTAGGAAAGAGAAAGTGTGAGAGAGGGTGGGTGTGAGAAAAGGCAGGTGGGTGAGTGTTGATGGGCATGAGGAGTGGGTGGATGAGAAAATGGGCTTGTGAGAGGGTTGATGGGGGAGATTGAGGGTGAGTGGGTTTGAAGGTGGGTAAGTGTGAGGGAGGGTGGATGGGTGTGAGGGAAGAGGACAGGTATGTGAAAGAAAGGGTATGGGGTGTGTGTGAGGATAATGGACATGTCTTGGACACAGTCACCAGTCTTGGCCCTTTCCTCTTCCTGGGCTCCTAGACACACACCCACTAACCTCTGTGCCTTACCAACAAACCCCCCTTCCACACATCCTCCCAGCTAACTGTGAATATGCATAAAAGGCATATTCACAGATAAAAAACTATCATCCATAAATGCTATCAACTCCTTAGGTATAAATTGTAGCATGCTTGTGTCAGAAGCCAAACACAGGTAGGGTAGGATTGTGGACAGGTGGAGTCAGAGTGGACCTTCTATGGATTCCATCTCACATTAGTCTTTAGATGTATATTAGAAATGATGAATTGGTTAAGCTATATTCTTCAAAGAGGGAGTAGATTACAATCTTGGCTTGTCAGCCAGCAGTTTGAGAACAGTAATACGAAAAGAACTTCAGCTGAACTTCATTGACTTAAGACTGAGGGAGATTGACATGAGTCAGTCCATCAATCATCATTCTATCATGCAAGATGAGCCACATGTCTAAGGTGCATCCAGTAAAATAAGCAGACTCTTGGATGTCATTACCGCCCAGCTCCGGCTGGGTTATACATATCTTTGGGAGGTTAAATCACCACCACCAGATATACCTTGCATCATTATGTACTGGAATGCAATAAAATTAATGAATTCAGAGACAGCTCCCTCAGAAATGTTCAAGATAAGTTAAAGTATGTTATCCACAGTGGTATATTACAAACCATTATGGAAAAATACCCTGACTTTGCTCACTGTAAATAAAACATTACCACTTTGTGTGTGTATGTGTATAAGAGAGAGAGTGAGAGAGACAGAGTGAGTGAATTGTGACCAGATACAGTATAAACATGTAAATAGTTTATTACCTTTGTAACTTGTTCATATATCAAAACTTTGTCGCCCAGTCCCTAGACCCATTATGTACCTCTGTAATCTTTTGACTACTGCCCACAGGATGGGTATGGGGTGCATAATAAAGATATTAACCCTTTGACTGTTTCCGACGTATAAATACGTCTTACGAGCCAATGTTTCTGACGTATTTATACGCATAAATTCTAGCAGCTTCAAATCAAGCAGGAGAAAGCTGCTAGGCCCACATGTGAGAGAATGGGTCTCCATGGTCAGTGTGCACCATATAAAAAAAATCGGGGAGCCAGTGGTGCATTGTGGGAATGCCATTTCAGTTGTCATTTTTCAGCATGTCTAGTGGTAAGAAATATGTGATTCCCCAGCAAATCTGGGACTCTTCTCTTCCCAAGTGATGCTCTAACACAGATGGAAGTGTCAGTGAAGATCAATTTCATGATTTGGAGGAGTTTGGACCAAAACAGAGGAGGAGGAGGAGGAAAAAGAGGGAGGAGGAAGAAGAGGAGGGGGGGAAGAAGAGGAGGAGGAAGAAGAGGAGGAGGAAGGAAGGAGGAAAAAAGGAAAGGGAAAGAGGAAGGAAGGAGGAAGGAGGAAAGGGAGGGAGGAAAAGGGGGAGGGGAAGAAGGAGGGAGGGGGAAAGAAGGAGGGGGAGGAGGAAGGAGGGAGGGGGGGGAAGAAGGGGGGAGGGGAGGAAGGGGGGGAGGAGGGGGAAAGGGAGGGAGGGGGGAGGAGGAGGGGGAGGAGGAGGAGGAAGGGGGAAGGGGAAGGGGGAAGGAGGAAGAAGGAAAAAGGGAGGAAAAAAGAAGAAGAAAAGACGCGACCAATCCCTAATCCCCTAATACCTAAAAATATGTAATAATATTTTCCCCTTGAGGCTGAAAACAGTTCACCCCCATGACATGACAAGAAAAGGGAGATAACACTAAAAAGAGCGACCTTTGTGAGGTAAACGGGGGGTGGAGGGGGGGGCACTGTCCATCTGTCAAGAGCCGGGAGGAGGAGGAGGGGGGAAAAAGGGAAAGGAGGGGGAGAGAAAGGAGAAGGGAAAAAGGGGAAAGGGGGAGGAGGAGAAAGGAGGAGGGAGGAGGGGGGGATGACGACGAAAAAAACATTTGGCAGTCTCTCTATTTGTCTGTCTCCCAAATCCCGTCTATCCGTCTAGCTCTGTTCAGAGGACCCACAAACTTTTCGTATCACGTTAACCCCCATCTTCAAGCAGAGTTAGCACTTTTTCTGGATTTTTTGGGTTATCCCAGGGAATTTACACTATGTATAGTTGTTTTAGGTACCTGGAGACAGAGTTTGACAAGAGAGAGAAAGAGGACAGATTGAAAGGATAGAATGAGGGAGAAAGATAATTAGATAAATGGAGGGGGGAAGCAGCTCCGACCCCATTTTTTTACGGCGGTGGGGGGATAATGAGACAATATGCATTTACAGCTGCCGATCCTGACTCAAAAAAAAATAAAGCCCACACTCGCACACAGACAAGCTTGCGAAGGGTGTAATAGCGGTTTTTTGAAAATATCTAGGACTATATATTTTGATATATATTATGAAACAAAGCAAGAAGGGGAAGGGGGGAATAAGGGAAGACTGATAAAGGAAGGAAAAAAGAATGAAGGACAAAATAAGGGAAAAAGTTAGGGAAAAGAGGGGGAATGCCCTCCAGGGAGCCCCCAGGTAGGAAAAGGGAAAGAAGGGAAATTTGGAGGAAGGAATATGACACACACCCTTTACCCAGGAAACTACATAACACAACGCCTGAATTTTGAAGAAAACGCTCGAGAGGGTTTTGTCTTTGCACATAAAAAAAAAATCAACAAAACTGCACACACACTGATTTTTTGTTTGGTTGAAGAGTTTGGGGGGAAAAAACCACGTGTAGACACCCTTTTTTTGTGGGAGTTAAAACACCATTGTGTAGCACCTGTTTTTTTGTTGGGGAAGGTAAAAACCATTGTTATGACACCATGTTTTTATGTGTGAGTGAAAAAAAACCCCCTGGTTTGACACCTGTTTTATTGTGGGAGTTAAAACACCACTGTGTATGAACCAGTTTTATGTGTGAGGGGGGTAAAACACCACTGTGTAACAATGTTTTAGTGTGAGAGTGTAAAAAACCACTGTGTATGACACCCGTTTTTTGTGTGAGGGGTGTAAAACACCACTGTGTAGACCCCTGTTTTATGTGTAGGAGTGAAACACCACTGGTATGAACCCTGTTTTTTTTGTGAGAGTGTAAAAAAAAATGGTATGACACCAGTTTTTTGTGTGAGAGTGAAAACATAAGTTATGAACCATGTTTTAGTGCGAGGTGTAAAACCCATGTGTAAGACACCATTTTTAGTGTATGGAGTGTAAAACACCATGTTTGACACCATTTTATGTGTAAGAGTGTAAAACACCACTGTGTATGACCATGTTTTATGTGTAAGAGTGTAAAACACCCTGTGTATGACACCATGTTTTATGTGTAAAGTGAAAAAACCACTGTGAAAGACACCATGTTCACAGAGTTCCACAAGCTGCAGAACTCCCAGGGGATGTTCGGACTGTAATTTGGTATATAATTTAGAACAATAGTAAAAAACAATTTTTTGTATTGTTGTTTTTGTAAACAAAATTTTTTAAAAAAATATTGATAATTATGTTTGTGTGCTTATGTTTTGTTTAAAAACAGTGTTATATTACATTGCACCTACTTTGGTCTCACAGCCACAAATTATGTGAAAAAATAAAATAGGAAAAAAAAACAAAACCTTTAATACAAGAAAAATAAAGTTTAGGGTGAGCGGGAGTCGCCGCTGTTGCCATCGGGTATTTCTCAAACTTTATGCCTCTAATCTCGGTAAGTACTGATGGGAAAAATTTTTTTGGCAAAAAAATGAAAAAAAATCTTAAAATTTTTTTTTAAAAAAAAAATAATTTTTTTTTTTCAAAAATTTTTTCGCACCAGGGAAACACTTTAGGATTTGGGGCCCTTTGACGTCAAAGGGTTAATCCAAAAATTACAATTTTTATGATCGTTTCTTTCCAAATACGTTACATGGCATCTTCTCTGTCGACTACATATTAATGCTCAGTATGAGAGCTGCTCAGTCGCCTGTGGGATGCAGTCAAGAGTGGAGGTGTATGATGTGCCAAATCTGGTGCACAGTGACCATAGAGTTTTACAGAAAATGGAATTTCTTTTTCTCAGGAATAAGTTATTGACCTTTTGATACTTTGCAAAAACTACTTGACAGATTGTCATGATTTTTGCACACACTACTGAGGAATGATGGTTCTACTCAGTGGTAATGGGGATTTGCGATATTCCTTATCGTTTTGTTTTTATTTTTTCCCCCCCAAAAAATTGTTTAAAAAAAAGAAACTTCAACATTTTTTTATTATGCAATCTATTGACATTTCACTTAAAAGCAGGTAGTCATAGAATTATCTAGACCTTTATCTTTCATCTGCTGTGAACTAGAACATTGTACATCTTACCAATTTTGGAAACTAAGTAGAGTTTGTATACCCTATAAAATAGGGCATTATTATTTTTTTCTCTCTACCTTTTGAGGCAAAAGTCACTAAAAACATGGTGTGCATGTTTCAAATGCTGCTTAATTCACAGTAAAAATTTCATTGATATTGGATAATTAGAAAAAGTCTTTGTTATTCCCTCCCTCCCTTATGCCATTACTGTTCCTGGTACAGCACCACCATCTCTGCCACTACCATCACTGCTTCTACTGCTATTATATAAATGATAGCATACAACAAATCTAGCCACATTTTAATATTTAATGTGGAATCTATGATTTTGTAAGTGCCTTCCCTTTCTTTATGCCAGTATCTTTCCCTCGATACTTTCACCTTTCCCTCTATATCATCACCTTTTCTTTTTTCATCTTTGCCATGTAGTGGTTTATGACTTAGGGCTTTAGCAAACAGTGATTATGAGTTGAACTTTTAGTGTGCAAAATTAAGGGGCTCAACTGTAGTGACTACAATATTTATGAAAAATTAAGGTACAGTATTTGCCAACCATAGATAAAATATTTCATTTGTGCTCAGTCTGTGCAGAAAGTTATGATGTAGATGGTTGAAGTCTGGACTTTCACACACCAGTTACAAGTAGGGCCTTGCAGCTTCAAGAGTGGCCTCATCTGCCTTGTGGCCAAATTCTGCATTATGCTCAGTGAAGCCTAAGAAATGGTATATGTGACTGATAATAATGTTAGAAAAGGAGAGTGTTTTGTTCTCTGCTTAATAGCTACATCAGAGATGGAGTAGCCATGAAGCAGAGAATAAAATACTCTCCTCTTCTAATATTATGCTACATTATTATCCACCCAATGCACTGTCAACTGAGCTTCATTGAACATAGTGCAGAGTTCAACCCAAAGGCAGATGAGGCCACTCTTGAAGTTGCGTGGCCCCACTTGCTGTTGGTGTCCGAGTTGTTCCCAAGATTTCTAGAAAGTTCAGACTTCAACCATCTGTTGCCATATGTTTCAGTGATCAAAGGCTTGTCTTGCAGCCAGCATCATAGCTTTCTGTGCAGACTATATGTGAAAACTCAGTTATTCCTGGTGAGGTTTGGATATACATGTTGAGTGAAATCACACCATTCGAGTTGTTTCCTTAATCAGCCCTTCCAATATGCCTTATGAAACTATTAAATGCCTATGTTTGAGTGTTTAGCTTAGTCTCTTAAACAATTTAATGGTACAAGTCATCTTTCAAGACTGTATTTAACCCAAGTCTTTGACAGACTTCGAGATTTGTACATGCTGTCCTGTACTTTCTCAAACCCATTTTTTTCTAGTGACGATTGCATCAAAAACTTGAATTGATCCTTTGTAGAGTTCGAAACTTCATGCTTAGTAATATCACATCACCAAAGACAGTAGTGCCTAAGCAATTCCTCCACACCAGTTTGTAAAATGGTGGAATTCCATTTACTGTATTAACATAGATAAATATGTACAGAAAGTTTTGAGAGTATGTATTATAAGAGTAATGGAATTCCTTACTTAAAAGATAATAGAGTAATTAACATTTATCTTTTTATCTTCCAAAGGTTTAGTTATGTTAACAGCAGTAGCTGGATATGCTATGGCTCCAGCCCCTCTTGATCCTGCCACACTGATACTCTGTACTTTGGGTACTGGACTTACATCTAGTGCTGCCAATGCAATTAATCAGTTCTTCGAAGTTCCATATGATTCTCAGATGGACCGTACCAAAAACAGAGTTTTGGTCAGAGGTATGTCTTGGCACTAGCGTACTTTTGGGATACTGACTGTTTGGAGTGACATCTAAACTGTCATATCTGAGCACCTCTGCAAAGACATTAATTATGTATGAATGATGGTGAAAGTGTTGAATGATAAAAGTTTTTTCTTTCTTTTATGTATCACCCTGCCTCAGTGGGAAACAACTGACATGTTAAAAAAATTATTTGAACATAATTTTGTCTATAAGCTTGCTTACTTATATTCAATATGATCTCACTACATATTACAGTACAGTACATTTTTGTTTAAGGAAAGACTAGCCAAACACAAATAACAAAACAGGCACAATTTCGTGACGTGGAGCAATACAACAAAAATAACCCGCATTATAGGAGAGCGGAGCTTTACGACAACGTGACTTCTGACTGGGTAAATATAAAATATTTTTATATATAGAAATTAATAGAATTTATATATTATATATATTGATTTATATATATTATTTATATTATTATATATTATATATATAATTATATATATATATATTTATATATATATATATTTATTTTATATATTTAATATATATATATATATCATATATATATATATATATATATAATATATATATATATAATTATATTATATATTTATATATTTTATTGTTATATATATTATATATATATATATAATAATTATATATATATATATATATATATATATTTTTAATTATATTATATATATTTTATTATATATATATATATATATATATATATATATAGATATATATATTTAGATTTATGATTTTTTTTATATTATATATATATAATTTTATTTTTTTAGGATACACTGGACCCAACCCACCCCCAAACCATCTCTGTTAGCTGCTACGCCGGATTCCCACCAGGGCAGGGTGGCCCGGAAAAAGAAAAACTTTCCACCATCATTCACTCTCATCAATGTCTTGCCAGAAGGGTGCTTTACCACTCACAGGTTTTTTAAACTGCAACATTAAAAACCTCTTCAGAGTGCAGGGCACTGTACTTCCCATTCTCCAGGGACTCAAGTCCGGCCTGCCGGTTTCCCTGAACCCCTTCATAAATGTTACTTTGTCTCAACTCTAACAGCATGTCAAGTATTAAAAAACCATTTGTCTCCATTCACTCCTATCAAAATCACGTCACGCATGCCTGCTGGACAGTCCAAGCCCTCGCACACAAAAACCTCCTTTAACCCCCTCTCTCCAACCTTTCCTGACGGCCGGCCCTACCCGCCTTTCCTTCCACTACAGACTGATACAACTCTTGAGTCATTTCTGTTTCGCTCCATTCTCTCTACATGTCCGAACACACCTCATCTACACTATATAATAACTATATATTACAGTGGACCCCCGCATAAGATTACCTCCAATGCGTCCAATTTTGTAAGTGTATGTATGGAAGTGCGTTTGTACGTGTATGTTTGGGGGTCTGAAATGGGCTAATCTTCTTCACAATATTTCTTAATGGGGAACAATATCGGTTCAGTAATGGCACCTGAATGAAAAACTTCTGGAGTTGAAAAAGTATCGTTAACCGGGGGTCCACTGTGTGTTAATTGATAATATATATATACAGTGTGGACCCCTCCGCATAAAGATTTTAATCCGTGCAAGAGGGTAATTGTTATGCGAAATATTCGGTTCTATTCGCGAATGAATTTTCCCCATAAGAAAATAATGGAACATCAAATTAATCCGTTGCAAGAAACCCCAAAAGTATGAAAATAATATTTTTTCCACATGAAATATACATTTTCCACACACAAAGAGAAGGATAATGCACAATGTAAGAGTAGTACATGACATATATATTGTGCATGTATCATCGTCTACTAAAATGAAGAATAAATGACACTACCTTTATTTGATGATGCAGCAATGACTGTGAGACACTGTGTAATGGGAGTACCTTTTCCTCCTGGATATGTAGGTCCGTTTGGCACTTTCTTCCAGAACAGGCCTTATCACACAGTGTTGCACTACGATTCTTAATCTCCTCAAACCAACCTTTGCTGGCTTTAAATTCACCAATATGAGCACTAGGTTCAAGGCATTTTTTCCCTGTTCACTGGGTGTTTAGTCGACTTGTGTGGGTTGCATCCTGGTGGAGAACAAGATTAGGACCCCATGGAAATAAGTTAGACAGTCTTCGATGACACTGACTTTTTTGGGATATCCTGGGTGGCAAATCTCTGGGGTTAATTGTTTTTGGTTATTCTCAATAAGCCACACCAAACAACGGTGCCTAAGCAGCAGAGCTGACGGTTGGTACAGCAGCAAACAGACGTTGCTACAGCAGACAGCAGACGATGCTACGCAGCAGCGCAGCAAGACGATGCTACAGCAGCAGCAGCAGATGACGGTGGTACTGCAGAAAACAGACGATGCTACTGCAGCAACAGATCGATGTTACAGCAGCAGCTGATAAACAGCTGACGGTGTGGTTACAGCAGTAAACAGGACGATGCTTCGCATGTACAGCAGACGTTGCTACAGCAGCAACTGACGGATGGTTACAGCAGCAGCAGACGATGCTACAGCAGCAGCCTAGACGATTGGCTACAGCAGCAGCAGCGCTGACGTGGTACAGCTGCAACAGACGATTGCTACAGCAGCAACAGACAGATGTTACAGTGTAGCAGCAGAAGACGATGCTACAGCTGCAGCATGCAGCGGACAGTGCAGCACAGCAGCAGCTGTGTGACCTCATAGGTAGCGATGGTTGATTGGGGTTTAATTATACAACCTGGCCAGCTCGGAGACACGCACTCACTTCATACTTATCAATGATCGTTTTCTTCATCTCTATTGTAATTCTTCACCCTTATTGCTGTAGGGTTGGCACTACGAAGCTTTTCTTGGGCGCCCATGGTCACTTATTTTCCAGAAAAAAATAGCACCGATAACACTGTATTAATATGAAATATTCCGATTGTATGCTGTGGATGTTACGCGGAGGGCTGGCTGGTTAAACAATGCCACGGCTGGAACATGTGAGCGTGGTCAGGCCGAACATTGGACCCGTCTCGTACGAAATCGGAGTGAGGCGGTTTTTGTAAGCGGTTTGGGAGGCAAATTTTTGCGATTAAAGCAATGCGGTATGCGATTAATCGCTAGTGATGCCATCGTTTGCGGGGGGTGGTCCACTGTATTTATATATATATAATATATATATATATATATATATTTATATATTTTTATATATCATATATATATATGTTTATATATATATTTGATAATATAGGGATGGTACCACCTCTAGAACTGTTAATAAGGCACTATCTCAAGAAAGATAAAACTTGCTTCATGGGAAAACTCAAAGGTTCTTCCTGAAGCAGTTTGAGAATTTTCTCCTACCACCCCTATTATTTTATGTATATTTTATTGTAAAGACAAATACATTGACTAATCATTCACAATAAAAATACGATAGAAAGTTTAAAAACAACTAGGGTGACTCAGCGATACATCTCGTTACTTCTTTTTTGTCCAGCTCCCGGCGGTGGGCCGCGTGCCCAAGAATGCTGCTAGGCATTTCCTTCTGGATGCAACACTGAGTCTCTGAAGAGGAAGCTGGTCGCCCTGTGGTCCTTGTTTCTTTGATGAGCTTTTCACCGCTCTATTAGGAATTTAGAGGCACCACTCCTGCCCCATCTCCAGGGTCTCCGACCTTTGGGATGAAGTTATTAGCAAGGGGGTAGGTCTTCTACTTGGCGGATCTTCTGGGTCTCCCTGTGGCTGGCAGCTCACCCCCTTCCTTACGGAGTATGGCAAGTAGGTGTTTGCTGCAATGTGGGCGGACATTGTAGTCCCAGGCAATCTGCTTTCCATCCTTTCCCAAAGGGGTAGCATAGTGGTCCTCAGGGACACTTTTATTCCATCGACCTCGCCTTTGGGGGGTTCCGTTGAGCTGGGAAAGGGCTTTGGCGGCTTCTCTTTTGATGTCATTGACCTCCTCAGCCTGGCAAAATTCCCTTTGCGTGTGACACACGGGACCATGAAGCCCAAAATTGATCAGCTGTCCCCCTGCCCCAAAATACACTATGTTCGGTGAGGATGGGGGGGGCTGGGCGAAGAGCAACACCAATCCAAATGGCTGTGGGTTAGTGAGGCCCAAGGAGGAATTGGGAACGTAACAGGAAATCTCCTGGTGTGGTGCCTTCACTGCCAGGAGACGAGCTTTGCCCTTTCCTGAGGCATTGGAGGCTTTTGTGTTGGCGATTTTTTCCATGATGGTTTGCCCCAGTGGGACGTTTGTGTTCTTTGGGGGAGTGGTCTACTGGAGGAATCTGAAAGGGGTCCCCCGATCGGCTTCAGAAAACTGGGGTTTTGAGCTCCTCCCACGTCTCTCAAGCGTTCGGGAACAATCTTCTTGACTTTGCACGGAAGCAAACCGGGGGGGACAGAAAAGAGGTAAGTAACATGCGTTGTTTTGCGACCCCCTATCCCTCCCGTCGCCTGGGGGGGTTTGCCGCCCCATGTGATCCTCTAGTGCAGGTTCAGTCCCTTGGGGGTTTGACTCAGGTGTGCGTTTTATTCGTCAGTGTTGGGTTGTCAAAAAGGGTGCACCCCCTCAGGAAGTAAGTGATCTTGGAAGAAAGGCACCTTGTGAGGAGTACAGAGCATAGGGGCATCAAGATTTTTTTTCCCCCCAATCTCTCGGTCATTAATTTGTCCTTGTGGACTGTGTCGAGGGCCCTGGGCCCCAGCGGTGCTTCCAGGAGGGTACTGGGGGACGGAGGGTAGTGAGATTCTGGGAGGATTCTTTGCACAGCTTGTTTTTTCGGGTTCGCTGTGAGATTTCACCTTGGAGGTTTGAGAATGAGTCCCAAGTTTCCCCCTGTGTTTTCACCATTTGTAGGCCCCCTCCAGGGACTTTCAGTACCTCCCAGAGTGCCATTGTCGGACCAGATTTTTGAGTCGCTGGTAGGCGGAAGTTATTTCTCTTCTGCCAAGCAGAAGAGAAGGGAGCTGGGGTCACCCTGCGAA